AGATTTCGTTATCGACAGACAAATAGACAAATGACCTGTTCGGATGTTCGACGGGTTATTACAGTATTCGCCCCACAGTCCGGCCTATCCGTTTCCCTTAAGGCTAAATATGCTATACGCGGCTCAAGAGCATTTTTCATCCCGGCTGGGCATTAGTTTTAATTTGTCCTCTTTTATCCGAGGATTTTCACCCCCCTTCTGCGAATCAGACCATAATCGACAGTAGGTTTATGTGGGTAATTCGTTTTTATGTAGGGATAAAGCGACCGTGGAAAAATCTGCATGTGTTCTTTACCACCGAAAACCATCCTATCAAAGATACTTTTAAATTTCTGTTTACAAAAACTAGTCCATCGTCATTGTTTTTGTTTGTTCCAAATTGCTATGCTGTATATTATGCCAGTCCTAGATGATAGAAAATGGGTGCATTGTTTATAGGTATAAACCTTTACTTCAAACAGATTTAACTGTCAATATTTTTTACAAGTTCAAAACAAAGACTATATCTGCGCTTAACTTGAATAATAATATTATTCTTAATCTTTTAGGTTTTTGGTAGAAATAAAAAAGCTAGTGCCATCAGCGAGATTCGAACCCACAACCTTCGGCTCAATACTCCGCTCCTCTAACCACTTGAGTTATCATGACTCCTTTGCCATTTTTCCGGTTTTTCGTGTCCGAGTGGAACGAAGTTAAAAAAGTTCGTTAGCTCCTGAAGTGCAATGTTTCTCGTTAACAAGGCGCTTGAATAGATTAAAACCCGCATGACCGATCGTCCGTGAAGGTTTAACATTGCGAAGCGCCGTTCATAACTCCACGTTTTCAGCCGTAGATTTTTCTCACGGCTCTTTTTCTATATTATTCAAAAATAATAATAATTTTTTTTCTATTTCTTTTAGTAAGTTGTACTATTCTGCTATTGGGACTTCGATCCACTCGGACATCAACTACCTATCTCAACCTACAAACTTCCGAACCTTCCCACCTTTTTGCCATTTTTCAATTAATTAATCGAAAGAAGTAATTTGGTCAATAGGCCACTAAATATAATGGATTATTGTTAATGTGTAGTCTTTAATGTCCGTTAATTAATGATTATTTGGAGATAGTGAAATATGGTCTTGTGTGAGACATACAATGTTTTTTCAAAGCAAATTGAACTATTTTCAGACAAAATTAAACTTTTTCCATTCAAACTTGTCTTTTTAAAGAACCACCGAACTTTGACCAGATTAAACTAAATTTTTTCCAATCAAATTTAACTTCAACTTTCAACTTTAGATCAAATTAAATGTCCAAATCAAACGGCAATATTTCAAATAACAAATTTGCTTTTTCAAAAATAAATTTCATTTTTTTAAACAAAATTGAACTTTTTCAAACAAGTTCGAACTTTTCAAAAAAACTCCAAAAAATTAAGCCATTCCAAATTAATGTGAACTTCAATAACTTCAAAAACATTGCATTTTTTCAAAATCATTACACTTTTCCAAATAAAATTACTTTTTTATTTAAACAAAACTTTTCCATAAAATTGAATTTTTTTGGAACAAAATTTATATTTTTCAATTAATTTTTGTCAAACACAAATCTTTTTTCAAACTTTAACTTGGAATACTGGAATAAAACTTTTTTCAAAGAAAGTAACTTTTTTCAAACACAAAATAGAACTTTTTCAAAAACAAAATTTCAAAAACAAAAACAAAAAATATTTCGAATTAAATTGGACATTTCATACAAAACTGACATTTTCCAATCGAATTAAAATATTTTCAAAAAATTGAACATTTTTCAGAAATAAAATTAAACTATTTCAAAATGGAAATTGAACTTTTTCGGAACAAAAATCAACATCAAATATTCAAATCAAATTTGATTTTTTTGTTCAAACAAAATGGAACCCTTTTTTTAAACAACATTTAACTTTTTTTAATCAAAATTTAACTGTCAAAAAGTATTCAATTTTATTTCAAATCAAATTGAACTTTTTCAAAAGCATTAATTTTCTTCGAATAAAATTTAAAAATATTTAAATGAAAATTTCTCAATCCCAAATCAGTAGAATTATAATATGATTGCATTTTCCTGTTGAACTTGAATTTATAAGCTTCTGGTGGTAATCCTGAATAAGGATTATAAAGTTGTAAAGATAGTTATATAAGTAGTAATTTTTTGAAATAAAATAAGCTTTTACTAGAAACAAAATTTTTTAATTATTAATTATTTAATAAATTTCATAATTTAATTATTAACAAAATTAGATAGAACAAAACAACTATTTCTAATCGAACTGAGCTTTTTTATATGCGAAATGAACTTTTTACAATCAAATTGACCCTCTTTCAAAAAAATTAAGCATGTTTCCAATGAAATTAAACATTTATGTTAACACAAATTAAGTAAAAAGTTTTTACAAACAAATTGACTTTTTTCCAACAAAATAGGATTTTTTTCTATTTAAATTGAATGAATTTTTTTAAGCAACGTCGAATTTTTACCAAATCAAATTAATATATTCAAAGAAAAGGTAACTTTTTCAAAACAAACTGTCCTATTTTCAGATCAATTAACCGTTTTTCTTTTTAATTGGACTTTTTCACACAAAATTAATCTTTTTTTTTAAGAAAATTAATTGCTTATCAATCAAAATTGAATATTTTCAAAACTAATATGACCTTTTTCCAAATCAATTGGACTTTTTAGAAACAAAATTCATCTTATAAATAAGTTGAAACAAGTTTGAACTTTTTTCCAAGAAAATTGAATATTTTCCAAGTTCAAATGAACTTTTTCCAAATTAATTGAAATTTTTTCAGAAACAAAACTAAACTTTTTCAAACAAAATTGATCTTTTTTTATTAGAGTTCAATCACTAGACCATAAACGTGAACCAATAAACTTTTTACACTTTTATATTAATTAGTTTTTGATTTCTTTTAACATTTAGAATAGTTGTTTTTTCTTATTCGAAGTTTTTCTCTTTTGAGCTTTAATTTTCGACTTATCTTAGTGTCCATTCTGTTTTTATTTCTCATTATTTTTTTAGTAAAATTACCGTTTACAAAATTGAACTATGACAAATCGAATTGAGCTTTTTTATATGCGAAATGAACTTTTTCCAATCAAATTGACCCTTTTTTTAAAAAAATTAAGTTTGTTCCCAATGAAATGAAACATTTTATGTTAACAAAAAAATAAACTAAAACCTTTTCCAAACAAATTGACTTTTTTCAACAAAATTGGATTTTTTCTATTTAGATTGATAGAATTGTTTTAAGTCACTTCGAACTTTTACCAAATCAAATTAATATATTCAAAGAAAAGGTAACTTTTTTAAAACAAACTGACCTATTTTCAGATCAATTAACCGTTTTTCTTTTTAACTTAATTTTTCACACAAAATTAATCTTTTTTTAAGAAAATTAATTGCTTATCAATCAAAATTGAATATTTTCAAAACTAATATGACCTTTTTCCAAATCAATTGGACGTTTTAGAAACAAAATTCATCTTATAAATAAGTTGAAACAAGTTTGAACTTTTTTCCAAGAAAATTGAATATTTTTCAAGTTCAAATGAACTTTTTCCAAATTAACTGAAATTTTTTCAGAAACAAAACTAAACTTTTTCAAACAAAATCGATCTTTTTTCTGTAGACTTCAATCACTAGACCATAAACGTGAACCAATAAACTTTTTACACTTTTATATTAATTTGTTTTCGATTTCCTCTAACATTTAGAATAGTTGTTTTTTCTTATTCGAAGTTTTTCTCTTTTGAGCTTTAATTTTCGACTTATCTTAGTGTCCATTCTGTTTTTATTTCTCATTATTTTTTTAGTAAAATTACCGTTTACAAAATTGAACTATGACAAATCGAATTGAGCTTTTTTATATGCGAAATGAACTTTTTCCAATCAAATTGACCCTTTTTTTAAAAAAATTAAGTTTGTTCCCAATGAAATGAAACATTTTATGTTAACAAAAAAATAAACTAAAACCTTTTCCAAACAAATTGACTTTTTTCAACAAAATTGGATTTTTTTCTATTTAGATTGATAAAAAAATTTTACGTCACTTCTAACTTTTACCAAATCAAATTCATATATTCAAAGAAAAGGTAACTTTTTTAAAACAAACTGACCTATTTTCAGATCAATTAACCGTTTTTCTTTTTAACTTAATTTTTCACACAAAATTAATCTTTTTTAAGAAAATTAATTGCTTATCAATTTAAATTGAATATTTTCAGAACAAATATGACCTTTTTCCAAGAAAATTGAATATTTTCAAAGTTCAAACGAGCTTTTTCCAAATTAATTAAAAAATTATCAGAAGCAAAATTAAACTTTTTCAGACATAATTGATCTTTTTCATTATAGATCAATCATTAGACTATAAACGTGAACCATTAATCTTTTTACATTTTTATATTAATTTGTTTTCGATTTCCTTTAAGATTTAGAATAGTTGTTTTTTCTTATTCAAAGTTTTTCTCTTTTAAGCTCTAATTTAAGAATATTTCTCATAATTTTTCGGCTTTAAGAGATCTTTCAACATTTTTTGTACGGTTCACAAACGAGGTTCTCACACCTCATGAAACAAATCCATCGGTCTAAGAACCATGATGGCCAGATGACAGAGCCATTTGTGCTTATCAATCATCCTTGAAGGAAACGTTTCGCCCTCTCTGGCTATCCGGATATAATGTTAGACCCCTCGAGCCTACTGGGAATGCATCACAATGTACATATATCTTCCTGGAGATCCCGACTCGATGACATCCGTGTCACCCGTGATCGTTTTCTCAAAGAAAGTTCCTCAGAGAGGTTTTTTCAGTAAAACTTTCCGTAGAATATTCAATAGTATTGTAATCTTATTACATTTTCCTATAAATTTGACTGTCGCAAGCTTCTGGCTTCGACTCCTTGGTAACCCTCATTACGGATTATAATATTGAAACTTTTCACTCCGGATTTACACAACTCATTACCTTTTCAGTTCCAGAGCTGAATATAGCAGATGAAAGGGGCCTTCCCATAAAGAACAAGTTCTACAATTCAGGAAGCACGATAGAACTGAAGTGCATCATTAGCAAAGTCCCAGAGCCGACCCACTTGATCATGTGGCGGATTGGCGAGAAAGTGCTGAATTACGACACGACGAGAGGAGGAATAAGGTAAATTAAATTCTCTTTTCTTAAACTACCTTTGATTATTTGCAAAAGTTGGAAATTTTCAAGTCAGTTATATTTACGACTGACAACTCACTATGAACATGGAAAAAATTAAAAACAGTCTCGTTAAAAAAAGAGCATGTAGTATCTTTAGAAATGTGACACCTCCAAAAAAATAAGGCCTTTTTTAAATATTAAATTCAATGAAAATTTCAGACAGTAAACAAATTATATAAGGCATCGGTTGAGATAAAAAAGACAGTGTCATGACGGGATTCGAACCCATGACCCTCGGCTTTATTCGCCGCTGCTCTACTACTTGAGCTATAATGACTCAAGCTCAAATGGTAGAGCAGCGGCGAATAAAGCCGAGTGTCGTGGGTTCGAATCCCGCTCGTGACACTGACTTTTTTATCTCAACCAATACCTTATATAATGATTAATTAATTGAAAACGTTATTCGGTCTATCGGACCGCGAACTGTAATGAATTTTTTCACTGTAACAAATTTTTTCAACAATATATGAACTATTTTGTTCCACTACCTTTTGCCATTTTCCATGTAACTTGGACACTTCCTCCAACTCAATTTTTTGATGCGACAAAAGCCGATTAAAAAAGAAAAACTATTGACAAACTAAAATATATAATACAGATTATCTTTGAAAATGTAATTTTAAGAGATTTTCATTTTATTTCATGGATATAATAAAAAAAAACCGAGCCACAAAATGAATAATTCCGAATTTTTGTAAAAAAATTTCATCAGACTGTAAAAACGGCTCTGGCTAAAAATCCTTTAATGCCAGGAATGAAATATTCTTCCATGCCAAACGGTGGTGAAAATTTATTTGAACAATATTCAATTCAGGGATGATAAACTGCAACTCTTTATTAAAATATATAGCCTGCCTGCCCATAAAAAATTAATTTTGATGTCAACATTTTTCATAAAAGGCGTCAATACTTCAGGAATGGACGTGTCAAATTTGACTGAAAAGTCCTTCTCCAAAGGTTAATTTTCAATTTTATTCGAGATATTCCATTTTTCAAGTTAGTATAAACTTTCATAACTTTATCCTATAAAATCTCCTCTAACTCATAAAAATTTCAATCTTACTGTAAACTCGATTTCGCCAATGTAATGAAAACCCTAACAAATATAATAACGTTTATTTGCTTAAAAAAATTGAATTTTCAGTCATTAGTCATTATTAATTTTTAAACTTAAAATAAAATTAGTGATACAAAATGAACCAAAAAAGAGATGCAAAATTTTTTGTAAAATTAAATTAAATTTTAAAATCAGTCAGAAAACAATGTCAGGATTATATTCTTCAAGAAAGTGGACATTTTGAACATTTAATTTTTTTAAGAAATTTGTTAAATAAAATAAAATAATTTAAAATGAACCAAAAAAGTCATGCAAAACGTTTTGTAAAATTAAATTAAATATTCAAAATCTGTCAGAAAACAATGTCGGGATTATATTCATCAAGTAGGTGGACATTGTATGACGTAAATTGTGTATTATTATGACGTTTCACGTAGAGAAGTCAAAATGTGATTGAAATGAAAATTATTTGAGTACAGGTTAAGTGATCTTTTTGTGTGCTTACTTTTGAAAATCAAATTTGAATCCGGCATTTTGTTGAGAGTATTAGTGAAAATTAGTCAGAGCGTGCATTTGATAAATCTTTGTAAAAGGTAGAAACAAGGCCAGGATTTATTGAATTCCTTCCGGTGGTCGAGCATAGCCTGTAACATCCCAGGTGAATAGTGGATTTATCCCCACGCCCCTTGTTCAACCACAACACAGCGATTGCTCATTTTGCATATTCTGCTAACACGCCGGTTCAAATCGAATCAAACAACCTCACGTAAACCGGATAAAATTAACCCTTTTGCCAGAAATTCAATTTAGACCCTCCGCTAAGGATCTCGGGAAAAAAATTTAAATTAGACGAAGGTTCCAGCTGGATGTAATCCCTGTAGAGTCGATTCAAATTCTCAACAGAGAAAAGAAGATAAAAAGTTGCCGGCTATTAAGACGGCAATTATTTGTTTTGCCAAACTTCAGGCGTCGTATTATTTCAGGCATCTTTACTCCTCAAACTTCCTGTTTGTGTTTACATTCCTCCTTGATAAAACGAAGAATGGAGGGAAAAAAATTGACAAAGGGATTATTTATTCTTTACAAAGAATAACCGAGTACGGAATCCGTTTCCGACAACTTCCAGCTTTGGTGAAAGTCGTTAAAGATCTCATTCCTAAACAATCAGATGAAACTTTCAAAACATGAAAGTGTTAACAAAATCTAATATAACTTTGTTTGAAACGGCTTTTGAGAATAGCAGAACGTGAAAGGCTTACTTCTTTATGAACCGCACAATAGAAAACATCCAAGAGTGTAGTCGTGTTCCACAGGGAAAACTTTCTGCCTCTTCAAACTTCAAACGAATAAATTAAAAACATAGGAATGATTTGAATTATATTTTACAAAAATATTTATATAATAACCACTTACTTTTTTTTAAACACACTCTATGAATCTATTTTTGCGTTTCTGCATGTGTTCTGTATGTTTCTGTTTAGGAAAAACAGTTATGAACAATTCACTACTTTTCGTGGTCCGCTTGCCCAATTAATATTTTTCAATTAATTAAGATTTTTAGTTGAGATAAAAAAGTCAGTGACATGAGCGGGATTCAAACCCAAAACCTACTGCTAGATACGCCGCTACTCCACCACTTGAGCTATCGCAACTTCGATCCACTCGGAAAAAGGAGGGAAAACTCATAAGGTGGGGTTGAGATGGGAAGTTAGTGTCCGAGTGGATCGCAGTCACGATAGCTGAAGTGATAGAGCACCGGCGTACATAGCCGAAGGTCGTGGGTTCGAATCCTGCTCGTGACACTGACTTTTTTATCTCGACTAAAAACCTTGATTAATTGAAAGATATTAACTGATCAAGCGGACCACGAAGACTAGTGACTAGTGAATTTAGTAATTTATTAGTGTGAATATCCCAATTTACTCAGAGATTTGTCGAGTACTCTGGCATAGACCAAATGAATGTGTGAATGTATTTATTAACGTGAATGACATCGTTTATCCCCAATTACCCCGAGGATTATCGAGTACTCTGAAGTAGTGTGAATGAATGTATGGACATAATTTATTAGCGTGAATGGAAGAACAAACCCAATTACCCAATTATTCGTAGTAGGAGTAAATAACATCGTTTATCCAAAATTACTCAGAGGTTTATCGAGTATTCTGGGATGGACCAAATGAATGTGTGAATGTATTTATTCACGTGAATGACATCGTTTATCCCCAATTACCCCGACGATTATTGAGTACTCTGGAGGAAAATTCAAAAGGTGGGGTTGAGGATGGGAAGTTAGTGTCCGAGTGGATCGAAGTCACGATACTGCAAGTGGTAGAGTAGCGGCGTATCTCGGAGTCACGATAGCGCAAGTGGTAGAGTAGCGGCGTATCTCGGAGTCACGATAGCGCAAGTGGTAGAGTAGCTGCGTATCTAGCCGAAGGTCGTGGGTTCGAATCCCGCTCGTGACAATGACTTTTTTTTATCATAACTAGAAACCTTAGTTATGAACAATATACAATTGTCTAATTTATTTTTTTCATAGTAATTTATTTGTAGCATGAACGTATCAATTCATATTAGTTCCAATTTTAATACATGTACCACCGAGGTCCCACTTGATTAAGGGTAAAAATTCCTTGGCTCTGTACAGAGAGCGCGTAGGAACGCTAGCCAATTGTGAATTGTCTCCTGTTCCGATTATTTAATGAAACAGGGTTGTTTTGTTATATATCTTTTCGCGTCACTAGCTTGTGTTGATAGTGAATGTATTTATTAGCGTGATTATGTAGGGTGATGGGCCGATGGCGAAATATTGATTCCATCATCAACCCTCAATTACCTTATTTATGTAATAGTGTAAAAGGTCATGAAGAGATATCGAGTACTTCACTACCATAATTGAGTCAAGGTATGTAAATAAGAAAAAAATTATTTAAGAATGAATGAGAGTGGGAATGGGTTTGGACCTAGAATATGCAAGCGTACTGAATTGACCGATGTTCACAGCATCAACCAGCTCAACCCAGTTGTTTCGTCAGCAATTCCGACAGTTGAATAACTGAAAAACCCGCGAGTGGAAACAGACTCAGTAAGTTAACTTGTGCTGGGTCAACATGAATTCACCTACTCGCAGACCATCAATTCAGATACTCTTTCTCCCCTAAAATGGTGAAATGGTGTCAGGCACTCTAAAATCTTGCGAAAGGAATGATTTCAGGATGTGTATTAAACGTTTTAAAATAAGGGTTTCGAGGTGTTTGGACATCACTAGAAGAAAGCTAATGAACATGAAGGAAGATGCGTAAGGTAGCGGACTACATTGGTAGAAGAGGGATGCCATTTTAGTAGATGGGTTCATTGGTTATTCTTCGAAGGGTGAAAGTGTGTTCACATTTTTGTATGTTTGTTATTTTTTCCACCCCTCAAAGCATGTGACACGAGTTTGCACGTTTCTGGTTGAGATAACGGGATCTTTATGAGAGCATAGGATTGCCATTCACATAGGATAGTTTCAGAAATGTTACAAATGTCTGTGGTATATAAGAGAATGGGTTCTAATATACTTCCTTGGGATACCTCTACATCTATGAGATTGTTGGTTCATAGAAAGGAGCCACTGATGACTTAATCAGGATAGTAAGTAAAAGGTCTCCCTTAAAATTCCAGAGAAGCTTTAAGATCGCTAGCGATGATATCTACAACTGGCACTTTTGAATATTAGGACGTGAAAGTCTGGACCCAAACAAAAAAAAAAAAGTTGCAGGAATGAATCATGGGAAGAATGTCTTTAAGCATGTTATTTTGCCCATTACGTGCACATAGTTCATTTACACGACAGAATGATTGAAATTTATGAGGGCTTTTTTAGGTCTTGGAGGGATTTCTATTGGGATTAATTATAATCTAAGGACAGAATTGTAAATGAAGGTGAGAAAAATTACAGCTTTTTAGATAGATGTCGAAGGATTTATGTAGTGATAAATTAATAGATTGGTGGAACTAAGTTAAGAGGGCAGGTCTTTAACATAGAGCAAAAACCATAGTGGCCCTAGCATGCTCCCTTGAGGCACTCCTACATAGTTTCTTACCTGGAGATATGAGCCAAACTGCTGAAGTACTTGACATCACCATAAAAGTCCAACTTACTGTTTGATATTTTATATTACATCGGCTTACTGAAGACCATTAAGTACGAAATTTTGAAGTTCACTTTTAATTAGAGCAACTACCTTTCCAACCCCCATCCGCATTTGAAATATCAATAACGAACTTTTCAATTAAATTTGGGGCAGATGCAATAAAGCAAAACGAATTTGAGCTCATAATGAAGCTTGAGGTGTTGGGACAAATTAGATCCATTAAGGTTGAGTTCTCTCGGCTGATGAAATGGCGTTCAGCCTCATACGTCAAGTTATAATTACCAACTGGATTCAGCCGACTTACTCAAGGTGTGTCTTCCAGATTATCGTATTATGGCATAACGCGTTATCCGTGCAGAAATCTTAATACAACCCCCCGCAACGCACACTTATATTCCTCTTCTCCCAGCTCTTTTCAAACAAATTGATATTTTCCAACAAATTGTATCGCCGATTACCGAGCCCGGGAGATGATTTCCGAGATGGGAGAACCGACGAAATCATACTTGTAAATGAAGGCAGTTATGCAAATTGTTAAATATGTAAATAACTGAAATATTGCGCTTGGGACATTCCTAGCTCAGTCTTTTTTTTTTTTTACTCTCTTTTCTTATTTATAATATACCCAGCTCCCTTTGAACTATTTATTTAGTTTGCCAAAAAAAATCCTACTCCTTCCTTCCACAAAAGTTAAACAAAAGCCAAGACAAACCATATCTTATGTAAATAATAGATTAACTTTACTTACAAATCGGTTTTCTACATACTTCTTGAAAAGTTGAAAACGCACTTTTAAAATTCTGTGCTTAAAAAATTGCAATCAGATTATATTAAAAGCATTGGTAACATTTTTACCATAATTAGTATAAAAATGGATTGTCTGATCGTTAGTCTGTACAAAGATCACAACTAAAAATATCCTTTATTTATTTATTACACTTTTATACATAATATAGCATTACACATAACCTGTAATTCGGTCGTTAACGGTCATTTCCGCCTGCAGCGTACAGGTAAATTCAGTGAGGTTAGGTAGAACCAAAAAATTGTTAGCGACTAAATTACAGGTTCAACACCCGCAGGCCTCATCGAGAAAGCTCACAATTATATATAACTTAATCTTTTTATGTAAGGTTTTGCTTGAAATGAAAAAGTTAGTGCCACGAGCGAGATTCGAACCCACGACCGGCTAAATACGCCGCTGCTCTACCACTTGAGCTATCGTGACTTCGATCCACTCGGACACCAAAATGAAAAATGGCAAAAAGGAGGGAAAATTCGAAAGGTTGGGTTGAGATGGGAAGTTAGTGTTTGGGGGGGGGGAGATAGAGATAGAGTGAGAAATAGAAATAGTGTCAGAGAAAGAATGAAGAATGAATCCAAGTGACAGAGTGAGAGAACTCGAGTGTGAGAGAGACAGAGTTAGAAAGAGAAATAGAAACAGTGTCAGAGAGAAACACAATGCGAGTGAGTGTGAAAGAGAGAGAGCCAGAGTGGAATAAAGTGGAAGAAAGAAAGAGAGAGAAAGAAGTAGAGTGAGTGTCAGAGAGAATGAACGCAAGTAATAGATTTTCAGTTGAGATAAAAAGTCAAAGGCACGAGCGGGATTCGAACCCACGATCTTCGGATTGATACGCCGCTGCTCAACCACTTGAGCTATCGTGACCTCGATCCACTCGGACACCAACCTCCCATCTCAACCACACCTTTTGGTGGAATGGCAAAAAGGAGGGAAAATTCAAAAGGTGTGGTTGAGATGGGAGGTTGGTGTCCGAGTGGATCGAGGTCACGATAGCTCAAGTGGTAGAGCAGCGGCGTATCAATCCGAAGATCGTGGGTTCGAATCCCGCTCGTGCCATTGACTTTTTTATCTCGACTGAAAACCTTAATTAATTGTAAGACATTAATTGGTCCAGCGGACCACGAAACTAGTGAATTTAGCAAGAAAGAGAGTGAAAAATAGCGGAAGAAACAGAAAGTGAAAGATAGAGGGAAAAATACCAGTGAAAAAGGAAAGAGAGAGAAAAGAAAGAGACAAGCTGAGTATCAGAAAGTGAAATCGACAGAGAGAAAAATAGAACCAGTTTCATAGAGAAAGAGAGAGAAAAAGTGCGAATGTTGGGGAGAGAGAGTGAGTGAGAGAGAAAGTAAGAGAGAGAGAGAAATAGAGTGAGTGTCAGAGAGAGAATGAACGCAAGTAAGAAAGTCAAAAATAGAGGGAGAGGCAGAAAGTGAAAGATAGAGGGAGAAAAATATAGCAAGTGCCAGTGAAAAAGCAGAGAGAGAGAGAGAGAGAGAGAGAGAGAGAGAGAGAGAGAGAGAGAGAGAGTGAGTGAGAGAGTGAAAACTTAATGATGAAAAATTAATTCAACAGCCAAATTTTGAGGTATTTGATTCTAAGTGTTCTGAATTAGAATAAGCTGGCCAAATAAAAATATTTATATATTTAATTGCTTTATAATGTTTTTGGTGATTGGATCAGAGAGAGCAGAGAGTCAGAGAGAGTGAGAGAGCGAGAGAGAGAGAGAGAGAGTGAGAGGGGGGGAGAAAGAATGAATGAGCTTTCTCTCTTTCTATCTCCTTCTCTTCTTGAAGAATACTTAGAATCAAATACCTCAAAATTTGGCTGTTAAATTAATCTTTTCAGATTATTTAAGGGCATAAGCTTTTCCTTTAAACATTGGTTGAATTCTATTATGGAATGGTAGGAGGTAGGTCAAAATAGTAGTAACAGTTACGAACAATAATCACTACTCTGAAAACAGCCAAGTTATGACTACTTGCAATTTGCAAGTCATGAGAGCAAAGTAGGTCAGGCATTGGACCAAATTTTATTGCATTTTTTTTTCTTCCTTTATAGCAGTACAAATGTGGTCGCATTTTTAAAACCGGCTGTAGTAAAGAATCAAGTATTGTGTAAATAGATAACAAACTTTAAAAAAATTGTCTCACTTTCTGGAAAAACTGGTGTAAGCAGAGTTCTCAATCAAGCAATAATAAGGTAAAAATTGCATGTGTTGATTGGTTAAGGATCAGAAAGTAAATACAAATAATGAGAAGCTTGCATAAGTAAGCTACAAGAGTAATCAATGTGTCAAACATTGAAGTTAAGGGAAGTGAGAGATATAATTTGATGTTATAGTTAGCAACGAAGTTCATGTTTATGCCAAAAAACAAGTGCATAATTTTTTTATTTGAAGTTTATTTATAAATAATGTGAAGAGATATTTTTAACATCCAAAATCTGATGGTTTTTGGCCACTATTCAAGGCAAGGAGGAAATTGAGAATATAACATATTTTAGGTTAGGTTATATAACGATAATACATATTTGAAATTTATTTTATAAATTCTTTCAACTTCATTGGAAATTACAAACTTCAACCCCCATATTCAAATATAATGTCTGATTGCAAGTTAATTCTGAAGAATCAGAGTATGATGATATAGGTTAAAATTGCTTGTCTAGGTTAGGTTAATACTGCTAAAAACTTCATAATTTTTATAATTCCAAAATATCGAGGAAAAGTGGTCTTATAGGAAGCAAATATGGAGCACACTTGAAAACCAATTCATTCATATGTCTTTTTTCCTGTTGAGGGCACCTCACTTTTTAAGCGTTCAACGCTCAAAGTCTTGTGACAAAAACTGATATTTCTTATAATCAAGAGACTAGGCAATCCAGGATAATAGGAAATTACTAACCTATACATTTACCTCATAGACCTAAAAAAAGTCATAACTTAGTTGGGAATTGTTTGTTTGTTTTTGGTGTGAACATTACCAGGGTGTAATGTTTATTAATTGATCATTTTGGTCTGCCTATCATCACTGGGTTGGTTTTATCATCATTTCGCCATCTTCAGGTACACCAGTGATCGATATTACAGACACATCATCAAATATACCAATGCTAGCGATTTCACAATTAATATTGAGTTATTTCATCACTTTACAAGATGATCACTGATTTTAATGAGATGTTTTTGGTGATACTAGGTCAAAAAATATACGAATGTTTTTCCAATGGGCTCTTGGAGCCAAGAAATTTTTAAAATAATGTGCATAATTTTAAGTTTTTTGTTGGAACATTAACAAATGACGATTTAGTTGTTAACCTAACCGTGTTGGTGTGTCAGACCCATTTTGGCATTTCATCTTCTTCAAGCACATTTTCAATCAGTAACGACAAAAAAACAAGTTTATCACCCAGACGACTACACAGAGAAATCACACAATTAATTAAGACATTATCTGACTGTCCTGCTATATATAAAAATAATTTATTTAAAAAATACATCAAGATTGGTCTACAGAATAATAAAAGTGTAATTTAGTCGTTACGAATCATTTTTGTTCTGCCTCACTGGATTGATCTGTCAGACTAAAATGATCGATAACGACCAAATTAAATGTTTGATAATTGTTTTTTCTCCTTTTTATTAAAAAAATATATTAACAATGATTTGTAATTTTTTTTTCAGCGTAAAAACAGACATCTCAGACGATGGAGCTCTAAGCCGTCTTTTCATTGCTAACTCAAACCAGCATGATTCAGGAAATTACACATGTTCCCTCGGGGAACTTGCACATTCTTCTGTTGCAGTAGTTGTGCTGAACGGTAAGTCGGCAATTTTTTTTTTCATTTTTTTCAAACTTCAGATTTTCTGAAGATCAGTATGGTAGTAAAAACTGATCGAATCTAGGGATGGTTAGGGATGGTTCATGATGGATAATATGAGAAAAAAAAAGAATTGAAAGAAATCGACTGCTGGGCTCAAACCCTCTTCAGGTCGGGAACACAATCAGAAACATTTTAGGGCAGAAGACGCTTTTTATACTCTAAGAAAAAAAAAAAAAAAGATGTTTCAGAATGCAGAAAAAACTCTGCAGTTCTTCATAAACAGTTTTAGGAGAGTGCACCCATGTCAATTTTAAAAATGTCACTTTCCAAACTGAGGTACACTTTCCTTTAGGAATTTTAGTACCTTCCTCAGTACAATTTTTTCATTTGTTTCTACATATTCCAACCATCCCTTTCCTCTTCGCACACCTCTTTTTATGAGAATTTACCAAATTGGCCGTACTGGGCTAATGTTTCACATTTACAAAGGATATGGGCTGATGTCTCTAGTTTCTCTTAACAGAGTCAGCATTTTATTTCTCTGATTTATCCATCTTTTTAGGTGGTAGTTAAGTGGACAAAGGCCTATAATTTTCCTTAAATCTGCTGAAATAGAGGAACACTTTTACCTTCCATTTTGAAAGATTATTCTCTTACCTCCTACTTGGTGCTTTTGCCCAGTGCTTCAGTCTTTCTTCCCCAAGGTGTTTTTCCAGCACCAACTTTAGCATACTGTCCAGTGTGCCAAGTTGTTGTTCTGGTCCCATGATTAAAAGGTATGCTGACTTCCTTGCCTAGTTCATTTTCTTCTATATCTTCATGTCCCAGAACCCACCTCATGGTAACTTTGTTGTTTTCTTAGGGTCATTTAGCAATATACATTCCCAAACTGGTTTGGAGCAAAAAGTGTGTATATTTTGTGCCTTTATAGTTGCTTGACTGTCTGAAAGTGTATTCTTCTTTATCAGCTCCTGTGCAAAGAGTTGGACTACATGGACTCACCTTGGAAGATATTTGGGACCAGTCCAAGTGGTTTTGCTAGGATGTAATTCAGTCTTTTTACCTGGCAAAGAGGTAGTAGAGCAGTGTAAGAACAGATTAGATACTATTTCTGTAAATAAGCTGCAGGTTTTAGGTAAACATCTGCCTGTTTATGAACTGCGGTGGCTTAGAGGTTTGGGCCTACAACGATTTACGATGCTAGTGATCCTGGGTTCGAATCCCAGTATATCCCGTGTTTTTTTAATTGAGAATAGTATGAAAAATATATTGTAAAATGGTTTGACCCCTTTTTCACAAACACCCAATGGGTCATTAGACATTAAGACAGGAATTATTTTACTTTTTACACGTGTTATGTCTTTTCTTTTATTTTATACCAAACTTTTCATTTATATTGTAAAAATAATTGAAATTTTAAATTTTAGGCGAAGCTCCAGCAGCTATGCACGTAGGGATCAGCCACAGGTTGACCGCCTGCAATATTTTTTGGGTTCTACCCTTCATCCTTCTCATATACTCTAGGTGACTGGCAGTTTAAGTGTGAAACGCCAAGATGTAAGGGACATGGTAAACGTAACCAGACTTCAAAGGGACTTATTCCCAAAAAATTTTGCTATTATCTGATTGGTGTTATAGCTATTGAAAAAACACTAAAACGCTGATACAAAACCTGTACAAATCTGTGTAATGCCCATTTAAATCTTTGTATTTGTACTGTAAGTTCGATCTAGTAGGTCCAGCTGGGCTCATCTTAAGGACTTACTTTTTTTTTCATTCAAACCTTATGATTTTCAAGCCTTATGATTAAAATTGATTAATTTAATATGGCATAGTGGCTAAACGATAAAATTCTGTACAAGCATAAAAATAAATAAATAGATGTATCTACATTTTTTTATAGAATTCTTATAGGTCAGACTTTTAAGACTTATAGGCAAAATAATACGCAAGAATTTCCCATAGTCCGCATAAAATAATAACTTCAACAAATCATAATTTCTGGATTTGTTTTGTTGCTTTCTAAATGTGAATTTAAATCGGGGAAAAATCCAATTGTTGTATGTACAGAGAAAGGAACAGATGCAGATAAATGTTTAAATTTCTGGCTATATTATTGCCAAGTCGACTCCTAGATTGTAGAACAGTCTAATTTAAACCATTCACTCTGAAGGCGGAAAAAAATCAAAATAAAAAACAAAGAGAAGGGTATTTTTATAGAAATGTACTAATTTTTGGCTCAACATATTGTTGAAGTTTTTGTGATCGGTGAGGTGTACATAACTCAACTGTATAGAGTTTATACACAATGAAATACCATTGATAGATTAATTTAAATTTTATATATGCTTAGAACATAAAATTTTGTTGTTTAACTGAAAAAAAAATTTAAAAATGCTATATTATAATAAATGTTAATGAATGTAAAATACAAATTTTAATGTGAAACCACTATAAAACTAGTCATTTAAGTTATAGGTGATATTTAAATTTGTACCAGGGACTCAATAAAAATTCTGTATTGAGTAGAGTAATCATAATTGTAACAAAGTAATATAAAAATCAATTGTTGTAAAATTATATTGATTACTATGTGAATTATAACATTATGTACATGTAAAACATATTAATTAAATAAAATGTTGTGAACTTTTTTTTTCAACTCTTTTAAACCTAAAAATGTTGATTCAAATGGTGTGTAAATGTCTTTTTAAAATAAATAATAAAAAAACTCAAAATTGCATTTTTTTAATTACTGACAATATTACTTTTTTTATATATTCTAAAATCGTTTTAATTAAATTTACATACTTTAACTTTCAATTTTAATTCTTTTTTTTTGTTTTTTTTTTTAGAAAAACAACAGACTGGTTAGATTGGGTAAATTTGATTTAAGGTTTTTCCAAATTAGGCAAACTTTAAAATAACGAAACATAATAAAACGAAAAATAACAAAAAGTACAATCATACTCATAATTTATAACAAATAGCAAGCCAGATCCTGTGATAATTCAAACATTTAAATTTCTTTTGCTATGAGATTATAATTTTATAACTAATTTTGAATAAATCCTTTATTTTCAAAACATTTGTTTTTTGGGAAAGCAAACAGACTGATTAGATGGGTCAATTTGTTATGAGGTTTCTTCAAATTTGGTCAATGGGTTTTCTCCCTCGATATCATAAGTCATTCTTCGTGATTCTTCGGTGCAAATTGCACCATAGTCATGCCAAACTATAGTCGTGGTGTCATTTAATTTTGGATTATTTTGGAAGCTACCTAACTACAGGTTATATTTCCTCTCCTATAAGAATATAATTTTGTAACAACTTTGTAATACTTTATTTTCAAAACTTATTTGTTTTTTGGGAAAGCAAACAGACTGATTAGATGGGTAAATTTGTTATGAGGTTTCTTCAAATTTGGTCAATGGGTTTTCTCCCTCGATATCATAAGTCATTCTTCATGATTCTTCGGTGCAAATTGCACCATAGTCGTGCCAAACTATAGTCGTGGTGTCATTGAATTTTGGATTATTTTGGAAGCTACCTAACTACAGGTTATATTTCCTCTCTCCTATAAGAATATAATTTTGTAACAACTTTTTAATACTTTATTTTCAATTCTTAATCCTTTTATCAAAAAGCCAAACAGACTGCTTTATTGGACCAATTTGTTATTAAGTTCCTAGCAGTTATATCGATCTTTGATCAATGGGTTTTCTCGTTTGATATCCAATCCATTCTACATGATTCTTGCCATATTTGGTGCCTCAAAAATTAATTTCTGACAATAAAATTTTTCAATATAAGAAATATAATCATACAGATAATTTATTGTTGGACTCATTAATTGCAAATAGCAAGCCAGATCCTGTGATAATTTAAACATTTTATTTATTAAACTTTTTTTACATTACTGGAGTGTTCATATTTATTGTCATGCGCAATATGGTGTTGATGTCATTAGATTTTGGATTATTTTGGAAACTACCAAACTGTAGGTTAAATTTCTTTTCCTATAAGAGTATAATTTTATAAATGTTGTGTGGTGTCCGTTAGTCGATGATTATTCGGAAATCGTGAGATGCGGTCTGGTGTGATGTAGTTTTCAGAAAAACATTTTCTTTATCGTGCCAACGTTCCGATCTTTATTGAGATCATCTTCAGGGCCTGCAATTTACAAACATTGCTTAAATTTAACAAATACATGTAGGATGTAAAAAAAGTGAATTTATACAATGCAAAAAATATATGTTTTATATTCAATCAAAGTATGGTAGAGTAGAAATACTTTGATGGATTATAAAAAATATTTTTTTGCATTGTATAAATTCACTTTTTTCCACATCTTACATGTATTTGTTAAATTTAAACAATGTTTGTAAATCCCTGGCCCTGAAGATGATCTCAATAAAGATCGAAACGTTGGCACGATAAAGAAAATGTTTTTCTGAAACCTACATCACACCAGACCGCATCTCACAATTTCCCTTCCACATGTTCTTGCCATATTTGGTGCCTCAAAAATTAATTTCTGACCATAAATTTTGTAAACATAAAAGAAATACATTCGCACTCATAATTTATTGTTGAACCCATTAATTGCAAATAGCAAACCAGATCCTGTGATAATTTAAACATTTTATTTATTAAACTTTTTTTTTATTTTGGAAACTGCCAAACTGTAGGTATAGATTTTTTTCTTACAAGAGTACAATTTTAGAACTAATTTTGATAAATCTTTGTTTTCAATATTTATTTCTTTTTTGAAAAAGCAAAACAGACTGATTCGATTGGATCAATTTGTTATGAGGTTTCTTCAAATTTGGTCAATGAGTTTTCTCGCTCGATATCCAGTCCATTTCACATAGTCCTTGCCCTATTGGGTGCTTCAAAAATTAATTTCTGACCGTAAATTTTTTAAACATAAAAGAAATAGACTCATCCTCATAATTTATTTTAGGACTCATTTACAACAAACAGCAAGCCAGATCCTGTAATAATTTAAACATTTTTTTTATTAAACTTTGTTTGTATAATTGGAGTTTTTCATATTTGTTTTCATGCCAAATATAGTCTTGATGTCATTAGATTTTGGATTATTTTGGAAACAATCAAACTGTACATTAAGTTTCTTTTGATATAAGAATATAATTTTATAACTAATTTTAAATAAATCCTATATTTTCAATCCTTATGCCTTTTTTGGAAAAGCGAAACAGGCTGTTTTGGATCAATTTGTTATTAATTTTCTCACAGTTATATTGTTCTTTCGTTAGTGGGTTTTCTCGTTTGATATCATATCCAAACCACTCGATTCTTGCCATATTAGGTCTCTCAAACATTAATTTCTGACCATAAATCTTTAAAAAAAACAAAAACAAAAAAAAAAAACAATCGTACTCATAATTTATTTTGGGACTCATTTATAACAAATAGCAAGTCAGATCGTATGATAATTCAAACATTTTAAAACTTGTTTTGCATAATTAGAGTTTTTCGTATTTGTTGTCATGCCAAATAGGTCTTGATCAAGATAAATTATCATTAGATTTTGGATTGTTTTTGAAAACTACCAAACTGTAGGTTAAATTTCTTTTGTTATAAGAGTATAATTTTATAACTAATTTTGAATAATTTTTTTATTTTCAATCCTTATTTGTTTTTGTTTTTTTGAACAGCAAAACAGACTGATTAGATTGGGTCAATTTGTTATAAGGTTTCTTCAAATTTGGTCAATGAGTTTTCTCGTTTGATATCCAGTCCATTTCACATGGTCCCAAAATAAATTATGAGCACAATTGTACTTTTTTTTATTTTTAAAAGATTTATGATCAGAAATTAATGCATGAGAGACCAAACATGGCAAGTATTATGTGTTTGGATTTGATATCAAACGAGAAAACCCATTGACAAAAAACCGATTTACTTTTGAGAAGATTAATAACAAATGGATCCAATCAAACCAGTCTGTTTTGCTTTTCAAAAAAGGAATTAGGATTGAAAATAAAGGATTTATTCAAAATTAGTCATAAAATTAAACTCTTATAGCGAAACAAATGTAACATCAGTTTGGTAATTTCCATAATAATCCAAAATCTAATGATATCACGACTATATTTGGCATGAAAACAAATATTAAAAACTTTATTGCAATTTATTGTCATGTCAAATATGGTGTTGATGTCATTAGATTTTGAAAACTACCACTGTTGGTTAAATTTCTTTTGCTATAAGAGTATAATTTTATAACTAATTTAGAATATATCCTTTATTTTCAAAACTTATTTGTTTTTTGGGAAAACAAACAGACTGATTAGATTGGGTCAATTTGTTATGAGGTTTCTTCAAATTTGGTCAATGGGTTTTCTCCCTCGATATCATAAGTCATTCTTCATGATTCTTCGGCGCAAATTGCACCATAGTCGTGCCAATGTTAAAGGGCATCGGTTTTAATGTAAATCCATGTAATAAAGGACTCGTAAAAGCGTGGGGCCTCGGCGAGGGTAACGTGTAAAGTTGTGTAAACCGTAAAGTAAGAGGCGTCGTCCCAATATCAGTGCGTACTTCGGCCATCATGCCTCCTTCCAGTCAGTCAGTTCCATCCATTACCTTCTTGTGGATGTTATACCGTTGTTGGTAAGATGTGACATTTCCGAAATGGTCTCGAACCAAATTGATCTCGCCCTTTGGACGATGTAGCTTCCACAGCGTCAATTATGGATGGATTCCTCGACGAGCAGACCCTGCAAGCTGTTCTCGGTGAGTCAATTTTTAAAAAGTAGGCGTCTACGAGATTTCGACCCGTTCCTCTATTGACCGAATCGGACGAGAGTCAATGGGTTTTCATTGACCAGGACCCTGATCGGGGATCGGGTAGGTTTTATTGATTTCCCACGAGCCACCCGGCCCCTGAATCAACAAGTGTCACTTTGACATTTCCACCTTATCCAACTCAATGTTTGTGTTTCTCCTCTTCCCTTAATTACTCTTGGAGGATTTTTTTCTATTTTTGTTTTCCTTTTAATCTGAACATAAAGATGATCTTCCATCATTTTAAATCTGATTAACGTTCATTATTGAGTTAATCTCATGAAGTTTTATTGAATAATTGCATTGCCTTTAATCAATCCTTATCTACTGTCTGTCTTGTATATATTTTATTGTCTAATTTACAAGAACATTATTATGCTATTTACAAAAATTTACAATTAATATTGATTATTCAATACAAATAAATCCAGAAAAAAAAGACAGAAAGTGCAAGAACAAATAAACAAAATGCTACTCCAAAAGTAATCAGGTTGGGTTGCAACAATAATCAAGAAAATATTAATACTAACAGATTTAATGTAATATTGAATAGTTTATGAATATTATATAGTTTAAATGATCACTTGAGATTTCTACGGATTCTCTTTGGTATCATGATGGCCAGCAGGAAAGTAAGGCCAATACTGACTATTATAAAAAAAAAATTACATAAGTTAAAACAATTTGTAGGTATATTGTAAAAATATTTTTTGATATTGGACAACAATGCTAATGTTTATGNCTTTATTGTCTATTATTCATAAAAATTAGCGTATTTGGCAGTCCAATAGGAATAAATATTTGTTTTAATGCACCTACAAATTGTTTTAACTTATGCTGGTTTTGATATATTAGCCATTATTGTCTTTACTTTCCTGCTGGCTATGATGATACCAAAAAAGAATCAATAGAAATCTCAAGCGATAATTTATACTGTTAAAAATTACTTTCCCAGGTTAATTGTCTATTATTCATAAACATTAGCATTAATGGCTTTCGAATATCAAAAAATATTTTTTATAGTATACGTACAAATTGTTTTAACTTATGTATTTTTTTTATATTAGTCAGTATTGACTTTGCATTACTGCTGGCTCACTCACTCAACCCCAATCACAAATGATCATTTAAACTATATAATATTCATAAACAATTCAATATTACATTACATCTGTTAGGTTTAATATTTTCTGGATTATTGTTGCAACCCAAACAGTTTACTTTTGGAGTAGCATTTTGTTTATTTGTTCTTACACAGCTCTCTGTCTTTTTTTTCTGGATTTATTTGTATTGGATAAACAATATTAATTGTAAATTTATGTAAATAGCATAATAAAATAAAATATATACAAGACAGAGAGTAGATAAGGATTGATTAAAGCCAGGCGGAATGAAAAGTCAACACTGACTAATATTAAAAAAAAAAAAATGCATAAGTTAAAACAATTTGTAGGGGTATTAAAACCAATATTAATTGATATAGGACAGCCAACAATGCTAATGTTATGGATAATAAACAGTTAACGTGGGAAAGTAACCTCTATAACAGTATGAATGATCGATTGTGATTTGTAAGGATTCTCTTTGGTACCATTATAGCCAACAGGAAAGTAATGTGAATACTGGCTAATATAAAAAATACCATATAATTTAAAACAATTTATAGGTTTATTAATACAAATATTAATTGATCTTGGACAGCCAACAGTGCTAATGGTTATGGATAATAGTCAGTTGACCTTGGCAAGTAACCTCTACAGCAGAATGAATGATCAATTGTGATCTCTATTGATTCTCTTTGATATCATGATAGCCAACAGGAAAGTAAGGTCAATACTGACTAATATAAAAATAACACATAAGTAAAAACAATTTGTAGGTATTAAAATTAATATTTATTGATATTGGACAACCAACGTAGCCTATATATAATAGACATAATCCTGGGAATACTCTTCAATATCATGACCACTCCGAAGGATAAAGTCAATGGAAATATGGTGAAAATCTAAGATTAGGTTTGCGGTTTTACTTGTGGAAATGTATAAAGAAAAACCATATTGAAAACAGATATTTTTTTCATTTTCCATTTCCATTAATTTATAGCTAAGTTTCTCAAATTAAAGACACAAACCCTGGGAAATTATGTTTACAAGATGGTTTTGAACCAAATTTGCATTTATTTGCGCTAAGTTATTGCTGTAAAAATTGGTTCCTGTAAAATTATGTTACCTGTCATTAGGTGGGATGAACATGCCATTCGGTCATTACTGATCATTTTGGCTTGTGCATACTCATTTGTCGTAACGAAACTGAAGATGGCGAAATGGTGAAACGTATCAGGCATAGGAAGTGTAGGCGAATCTAAATGATAAGTAATGACCAAATTATATAAGCATTTGAACTTGAAATTGTTTTAGACTTAAGTTATTTATTTATGAATTGATGTTTCTGTTTTTTTCTATCATTGCTGGCTTGTTATTTTATTGATGGACCAACCTGAGCTTAGTGGCTTATAATGCTTTGTTGGTGTAGTAAGCTTTGAGGTTTTGCCTTATTTTTTAAATTTTATTTTTTATTATCAATGTCTTGTGTCTGTCACCTTATGTAAATTTTGGCACCCTTGCTGTCTTGTAGCCAGTTATCATCATCATGCACATATGTACATGAAAACAAGAAAAAAGACAAGGGCTCACAAGAAATATGTACAAATCTTTCAACTTTAGCTCAATAATCAAGGAGACCTACTTCAGAGCCCTGTGTTACTCCAGATTTTACTTTGTAAATTTAGTCAAAACATTGTTTCTTTTTACTTGCTGGCCATGTAGATAACTATAAAACCATGACTACATGGGGCCATGTAAGATTCAGCAACATTATTAATAATCAAGGGCCTAAGTGAGTGCCCTGTGTTACTCCAGATTTTACGTTTACAAATATNTAATAATAAATGATGGTAATTTTTCACCTATGATTTTTATGTAAATAAGTTCTCGTTTGTTTTTCGAATGACGTGGGAAACGCCAAAAAATTATGCATTTTGGACAAATTGGACATATGAGTTTAACGGTTTTTTCGAGTAAGTATGGGTGAGCCGGGAATGGCCAATTCTAAGCCGAGTTAGATGGGTTTCTTCTTTTCGGGAATGCCTGGAAGAGGGTGTTTGCTGAAGAAGCGCGAAGGATTTTCAGACGAGCTGCCTAAATTGAATGCTTAGGTCACTGAAGAGGGCGACCATCCCGAGCAGTTACAGTTTGACGAAAACCAATTCCTTCTCGGTACGCAGTTGATGACTTGACAATTCACCCATAAACGTATAAAATGGGATTCTGTCCTTGCAGTAAGAAGAAAGTGAGAGTCAAAGTTGAAGGAGTGGTTCAGGATGGGATGATTGTTAATGAAAGGAAAAACGTGGGATATACCAGAACTATTTTTTGTTGCAAAAATAACACAACGGGCCATACAAATGTTTTTACAGTCAGATGTATATCCCGGTATAATAAATTAAACAACACGGTCGAACGGTCCCGTGTGGGAACCTTTCGGAAAGGTGGCCCAGCTAGGCGCGTGTCGAAATTAGTCAGGTGCATGACCAGTGCACAGGGATCAACAGTGCGGAAAATAGTTCGTTCGGCCTTCTCCCTTTTAACCGTAACCGCCCTCGTTCGCATTAGGACGGCATCTGCCCCCCGGGGGTTGTTTGTAAACGCCGAACAAATGTTTACTTCACACATAATGATTATGACGGGACCGCTTTATACGGCAAACATGCTAAACCCTGTTTTAATTGGTTAAGATTTGGTTGTTTGTAATGCCGTCGGACTCTTTTACGGAAATGTTGAACTAGTTTTAACAAATTTGAGTATTTTACACTTCAAAATTGCCAATAATATCCTGAGGACTCAAATAATTTTAGCATACCTACAAATAAATCTTGATGAACTGTTTCAATATCGCGCATTTCCTCCTCTTGTCTTAATTACATCCCGAAGACGCCTCGGCATACTTTGTACCAGTATGGAAATGTCTCTTTGTTGGAGGTTAGCCCAGTCTTCACGAAAAGTCCTTTCAAGGTCGTGGTGTATATCAGGATTAGTATGGACGTGCTCTTATTCGTCTTTTGAGGTTAACCCATAAATGTTGGATGGGTTTCAAGTCTGGAGAACGGACTGACCAGGAGACCTTGATGTTACGCTATTGAAAGTTTGTACTTTGCGAGCGACATGTGGCCGGCCATTAGCGTGCATTGGAATAGGATTGTCGTTGATTTCATCGAAGATAGGCAAAGCTTGATGTTCCAGAATTCCATCCACATAGCGAGTAGCCGCCAAAGACCATCCACGAAGGACAACCAACTCTGTGCGACTCTACATTGAAATTCCCGCCCACACCATCACTGATCTACTTGAAAAGGTTGGTTATGGGAAAAATTACAGGCTTCTTACCTTTCACCTTCTCCACACTCTTTCACGCCAATCTGGAGATCGTAGAGGAAATCTACACTCATATGTAAAAAGTACAGCAGACCAATCGTCCAAAGATCAATGGCTGTGTTCTCGAGCAAATACGAGCAGTGCAACTCTGTGCTCTGGTCAATTTTGGTCTTGTTAAGGGGTGAAAAGCCATCAGTCCATACTGATATAACCTTCTTCGAGCAGAGCGTTCAGAAATTTAGACACCTCGAACTTCCTGGAGCTGATGAATCGCTTGAACAACAGTAAGGTGCCGGTTTCACAAAATTTTCAAACTAAAAAGGTCATCCTGTGGTTCTGTTACCCTAGGGGGTCCAGAACCGGGTTTTCTATGGTAGGACTCAATTTCTGGAAAACGTCTAACGGCGTCTCGCAGAGTTTCGTATGGAACTCCATGGCAACAGCGGCATACCTGATGGAACGTCCATCATCAATAAGCGCCACACCAGTGGCATTTTTAAGATTAAAAATTGAAAT